CTCGCGATACAAGACTACAAGTTGTTCACTTTTAAATTACAGAGATTGAGATTGTACTTATTTAATGAAACCTCAAAGGATTTTTTTTCTCACTTTGCCAAAACACATATTTAGAGAGGAACCAAAACCCTATATAGTTTGGTTTGATTTTATGATGGTAGTTTCAATTTGAAAAAAAAAAAAAAAAAATCCTTTAGTTTACAATTTACAGTCATTAGAGCAAGATCTAAATGTTATAAATAAAAGAGTAAATTACACAGACACCCCTTAAGGTTAGGTCATCTTTTAACTAAATGAAGATTTTGTTTTTAACTTTCACCCTAATTTATTTTTTTTGGCTTCAAACACATAAGAATTGACCATTTTACCTTCAAAATTTTAATACAAATTATCTTTAATTTTAAATGACATGGCCCTTTTCATCTCTTTCGTCTGCCCCTTCAACCACCACCACAATCCTCATCCCACACCACCACTACACACTGCCGCCACATCAAACACGCCGCCTCTGGGTCAAATAAAACGTCACTATAACCACATGCCGCCTCAACCACACGCTTTAAGGAACGGATAGAGGTGGACAATAACCCAGATGTTGGGTTTGTGGCTCAAAATTTGTGTGCAGAAAATTAGTTTCCTTTTTCGTTTTGGAAGCTACGAGAAACAGTTTCCTGATTGGTTTTGGAATCCAGAAGACTTGGGGAAAAAGGCTGAAGATTTGGGAAAGAAGTTATACCTGCTATTTTAGAGTTGAAGATGGATATGGTAACTCATTGTAGGTAAGTTGATCCTTGTCCAACAAGGAATTGGGTTTTGAAAACTCTATAAATAGAGATGGGTATGAGGGGTTTAGAGAGAAAGAGAAGAGATAAAAGATGTAAAGGGTTTAAGGGTGAATGTTGTGAGGAGGGGAGAGTATATGTAATTCCCGAATGTATACATGTAGCCTCAAAAGAGATGATGAGTGAGTGAATGGGGTTTTGACATGTGGTTGTATATTCTCTTCCTTGATTCATAATAGTGAAATCTCTCTCTCCCATGGACGTAACCCTAGAGTTGGCTGAACCATGTAAAATATTATGTTGTGCGTTGATGTGTATGATTGTTATCTCCATATATACTTGTGTTGATGTGATGTGATGATACTTCTGTTGTGTGTGATGAATGAGAGATTTAACTCTCAACAACAGCCGACCGTTGAGTGGGTTCGAGGGAGTTAATTATCCCCAACACCAGATGGCAAAAAATAGCCTACCGAACAGGGGACCCCATGAATCATAGCCATTGTTAATGGCATTCGAAATCCCGACCACGACCCCGACTATATTTATAATCTACAAGGTTGTTGGAGGGATTAATAATGATGTCCACTTGAAGAGGTAAAAGCTCAGAGTATTCTCCATCATCTCCTACTTTGGAGGTGACAGTGAAGTCACCAGCTAAAACTTTGAGCAAACCATAAGCACCGGAACGATCCCATGTGGCACCATCGTCGAGTTCTTCGACTTAATCGTCCAAATTTGTGACCAAGTTATCAAATTCGAGCCTTGCCCTAGCCCTATCGTTACGCCCAATAGAGAGGACTTGACTCGTACAAACTCCATCTTTAACGGTGATCAAAGAACGGCGTCGTTGTGAAGGGATTTTAAGAGAGAGACCGAGTCGGAAAGGGTTGGGAGATGAATTGAAAAGATTGGGTGAGTTGGGTATGAGATCGACGTCAGTTTGGAGGCGAATCGAAGAAGGTTGGGAGGTCGACGAGTTTGTGTCACCGCCACAGTAGCCGTTCCGAGCTCAGCCGGCCACCGCCACCTCCAATCCATAACCCAAACCCCATCATCGATCCGGACGACCCCTGTTTGGTTGTTTGGTATGTCCACTCCTATTTGTGCTGATTGGGGAAGGAGAGGCACGGGGCGCTAGCGAAGGGGGTTGTTATGCAGCGGCATCGCGGTCAACAGTCTAGTATGATAGTAGTAGGTTGGCTAACTTTATTCAATTCCTTACCTATCTAGGGTTAAGTGGGGTGACTCAGTCTATATCAAGGACAGTCTTCAGAACTCAAACTCCGCTTGCAAGTTGCAACCTTTGTATGTGGGATTGCTTTGATTGCAACCATTGGATGTGTGTTTATATATATATGTTTTGTATGTGTGTGTATATATATATATCTACATATATATGGTTGTTTTGTACGTGTGTGTGTGTGTGTGTGTGTGTGTGGCTGTTTAGTATGTGTGTGTATATGTCGAGATTGCTTGGTTAATTGGGATGATGATGCTCTGAGAATACGAAGAAGAGAAAAGGTGTGCTGGGAGTAGTTTGGTCATAGAAATAGTCAACATGAGGTCAAAAGGTGACATAATCATTTAACACTTCAAAAGTAGTATAACTCCATCAAAAATTGACATTTAGGATGTAAGTGAAATGTTAAACCAGTAATTCAAATATAAGTGAAATCTAAAACCAAAATTTTCATCTACCTGAGATATGACCTAACCTCAGGGAATCTGAGTCTAATTTACCCTAAATAAAATATATATTATAATATATATTACATTGTAAACTTGTTTTCTTTTAATTGGTAGATAATATCTGCTTTAAATAGGGAATATATATATATATATATCCGCTTTCAATATGACTCCAAAATCAAGCTAAAATGATTTTAGCACATGTTTAGTAATCAAGGTTTCGTTTGTTTCAACATAAAATATTTTTCTTTTCATGTAAAAATTTATTTTTTATTTTAGTGTTTCAGTATTTGGCAAAGGTTTAGTTCGAAATTGAAATCGAGTCCATCCAATGAGTGTTAAATAACTTGTTCAAAATTGATAGGTAAATTATTTTTTTAAGAGTTACACACTTAGTCAATTTATGGTCATGTAATGCATTAGTTTACTGTAGAGGGTTTTTAAGGCATTGTGCCTTTTATGATTTTTTTTTTTTTTTTTACTTTTTATAAAAAAAATTAATTATACGGGGTAGCTTGATAAATACACAATAACATCAGATGAAAAGTGCTCGCGATGCAAGAGTACAAGTTGTTCACTTTTAAAATTACAGAGATTGAGATTGTGCTCATTTGATGAAACTTCAAAGGATTTTTTTTGCACTTTTCCAATACCCTATATAGTTAGAGAGGATCCAAAACTCTATATAGTTTGGTCCGATTTTATGATGGTAGTTTCAATTTTAAAAATAAAAAATAAAATAAAAAAAAAATCCTTTAGTTTACAATATACAGTCACTAGAACAAAATCTAACTGTTATAAATAAAATGTATATTATAATAAATATTACATTGTAAACTTGTTTTCTTTTAATTGGTAGATAATATCCGCTTTAAATAGGGAATATATATATATATATATATATCCGCTTTCAATATGACTCCAAAATCAAACTGAAATGATTTTAGCACATGTTTAGTAATCAAGGTATCGTTTGTTTCAACATAAAATATTTTTCTTTTGGTAAAAAATTTATTTTTTATTTTAGTGTTTCAGTATTTGGTAAAGGTTTAGTTCGAGATTGAAATCGAGTCCATCCGAGAAGTGTTAAATAACTTGTTAAAAATTGATAGGTAAATTATTTTTTTTAAGATTTTAATTTTTTTTTCTTAAATATTTTACGACAACTAAACACCAAAGAATGGAAAAATATTTTACATCCAAACAAACGGAGCCTAAAAGTTAAAAAAATAAAAATAAAAAAAAGGGAGAATAAATCATTTCTTTGACTTTCCCACTATGCCCCTCTATATTTAAGGTGGATTAATATTATGATCGTGTCCTTAATTTAAGATCAAAATTAATAATGCATGGTATTAGATATTTATTTGGGGAGGACATATTTACACTCTTCTTTTTTAGGGATTGCACCCTATTTGCTTTTTTCTTTTTAAAAAAATAACAAAAAGTTTTGTAAACTTATTACTAATATATTATTCCATAAAAATATTACAATTTTATTGCATAAAACTTACCGCATTATTGTAAGTTCATACTGAGTACAACTTTAACCAGAAATTAAAATTTTTGTGCTTTTTTTTTTTTTTTGTAAGAAAATTTGATGACAAAACTAGTATGAAGTAATTTTGTCTGTAACTTTTTTTTTTCCTACTAATCAAACTTTGAAGTGTTGACAAAAAAAAAAAAAAAAAAAAAAAAACTCCCTTATTTTTTTATTTTTATATTTGTTTGCAATTTCCATTTAATCATTTTCTAACAAATATTAGTTATATTTCAGAATAGGCTTGCTTCATTTCCTATTATTCCCCAAACCAGACAAACATATAGTCGCTTCACTGATTAGAGGATTAATGAAGCCCCTAATCTCTTTCGAAGCCTTCGCCCATCTCTCTCTCCCCTTCCAAACCCTCACTGCCGATTAGGTTCTATTCTTTGGTCGCAGTCCCTCACGGTCTCAGGTTCTCTCTCTCTCTCTCTCTCTCTCTCTCTCTCTCTCTGTGTTTAATATAAATTTATTTCAATGTGTGTATACACAACACTAGTAAATATAAATTTTGAGATTATAATTGCTGATATTCTATTTTCCTACTAATCATTATTCCTTACAAGCCAGTTTGGATTTAAGGTCTATTTGTACTATATACGACCCATTTGGATAAGGTTCGAGGCTTGATATTCAATTTTCCTTTTCTGATTGTTGTAATTGATATAATTTTCTCTGCTTTCAGTTTGTTTCTGTGTATAGGTGTTTTCTTGTGGATTATATTATATTTTGTTTTGTTCTGATTTGTATTTTGCTGAAACTATGTATATATGTTGTATTCTCTGGAATTTGAGGATATAGGGTTAGGCTCTGGTGGGCTTGAGCCTACACAAAAAAAAAAAAAAAAAAATTACTATACTATACTAAAATAAAGGCCCAAGCCAAATAAGCCCAATCTGGCCCTGACCCAAGGCGACTAATGGGCCTCAAAATTATAGGCCCATGGATGATGGGCAACAAGAAAAATATATATATTTTTAGGGCAAATCATTTCCCCCCCTCCCCAATCACCTCCTTCTCTATTCTCGTTCTCAACTCTGAACTTGCCCTCCATCTCTCTCTCTCTCTCTCTGCAACTGCAAACTAGAAAATCTACAAGAATCAGAAGTTCAAAACCAATAACCTATATCAAAACCCATATCGGCATATCATTTCAGATTGTTCAAAAAATCAAAACCCATATCTTTCAGTCTGCATCGCCCGCTGTTCCAGTTCGGGTTCGCCGTTCGCAAGCTTCAGCCGCTGTCTCTCAACTCTCAAGCTTGACCCCCTCTCTCTCTCTGCAACTGCTAACTTGTATGTATGGGTTTTGTTTAATTTTTTTTTATAGATCAACTAATCAAGCTCTGTAATTCTTGTTTTGCAAACTAAATCCTATTTGGTGAAATTTTTTATTATCTTTTTTATATAATTTTTTTTTTTTACAATATAAAGTAGCAAAATTTGCATTGCATTTTGAGGTAATCATCGTACTCTACATTTTATTTCAGCAAAACAAATATATATATAGATATATATATTTATTTATTTTTCTGTAACTTCTATTTCTTTTTTTTTCTTTTTCTTTTTTTTTTTTGTTGTCAATTATGTCTACAAGAAAATTGGAATCTGGGCATGAAAAAAGAAAAAAAAAATATGAATTGGATTAGAAATCTGCAGAGATTGAAGCTGAAACAATTTTTATCAACATGCCAAGCTTTTTGAAGATGGAAATCTTTTCAGAACTAAAAAAAATAAAATCATAACAAGAACTTTAGTTAATATGGGGTAAAGCTCTAAAGTTACTTCTTGAAAATTAAAATACATACGAAAAGCATGCTTTTGAGTGAATTCCATAGTGTTGGAAGGGGCTTGCCATGAACTACCTACCTTGCACTCTGCTTCCACTAGTAGATTCTCAAATAGGATTAGTAAATTGGCCAAAAGAAGAGATAGGGTACTGAGTGGTGAATTGTTCAGAAATAAATTGGTAATTTTTTTTATTAATTACCCAAATAGGATTTTCTATGCCTTAATCAGTAAATTGTCTAAAGAAACATTGTTAATAAACTAAAATTGAATTAAACAACAGTTGATTTTAGTTGATATATTTTGATTTAGCCCACCCCATTGAGAAATCCTGGATCCGCCCTTGAATATGTATATATGTTGTGTTCTGATCTTATTCCTTTTACTCAAATTGTTAGATAGAATTTCTGGATTTATCTTGTAATGGTAAGGAGAATTTCTGCTTTTGGGCAGTTGGTTGATTGTTGATGGCATTTTCTCTGCGGAGGAAAATTATCTGTACATGAAAAAGGGTTTTTATTTTATTTTTAATTATTCTTTTAAATTTTTAATAGCATGCAATGGACAATAATCAGATACTAGGTTTCATAATCATATAGCTAGATACAAATGTCTTGTTATACCTTTATTCGTGCAATTAATAGGAAAAGTCGTCTTATGCCCTTACTCATGGAATTGCAATTAGATTTTACTGTTCATAATTATCTCGGACTCACGTCATAAGTGTTGTTTCCTAAGTAAACAAATCTAACTTCAGTGTCAACTATGAGACAATCTTGGAAAATTGTAGGCTCAGTTCATGAACTTGTACATTATGGAGTAGAAGAAATTTAACCGAGCTTTTCATGAATGTATATATATATATATATATATATATATATTTGTATATTTAGAAGAAAATTAATTGCAAATAGCATTTTAATATACATTATCCTGTTCCTGTCTTTCCTATCCTTCCCTGTCTCGTATATTTTCTTTTCAATAAGAATGAGCCGATCACAAGCAGCCGTTAAAAGGAAAAGAGAAGACTCAAGTTCTGCTCAGACACCTGAGGGTAAAATATTAAATCTGATCAAAGGTAAAGAAGATATGGGAATCTGGAAAGGAGACTTGAAACGAGAAACAAATCTCCCTGATAAAGAGGTTGATAAAGTGGTGAAGTTGCTCCTTGCCCAGAAGCTGATAAAAGAGGTGGTGAACATCCAAAGCAAGGGGAGAAAGCTCTATATGGCAACAGAGTTCGAACCGTCAAAGGATGTAACTGGTGGTGCATGGTATGTTGGGGGGAATCTTGATACAACTTTCATTGGTGTTCTTAAAAAAGCATGCGAAGGAATCATACGCAAGTTGAAAGTTGCGACACTAGAGGCGATCACTGACTTCTTCAAGAAGAATAGAATCACCAAGGATGAATGCACGCCACAGCAAATTGCGCAGATACTTAGGTGTATGGTTTTGGACAATGAGATCATAGAGGTGAAGAGCACTGGATTAGGAGAATATGCTTCTATTCCAATGGGAACAGTTTGTTATAGGAGTGCAACTGGGCAAGGCCCAAAAACAGGGGCCATGGCTTCAATTCCATGTGGGGTTTGTCCCAGGATAACTCAGTGCTCACCTGATGGTCTCATCTCCCCGCAGACTTGTGTCTACTTCACGAAATGGTTGGATATTGAATTTTGAATAGTTTTAATTAATTAACTTCCAAGCTCTTAATACTACTTTCAGAAATCATATATTTTACAATAAAGTTCATGAATTTCATCTATATGTTTCATGGATCCATTTACTTGTTTCTTCTTCTTCTTTTTGGTGTATGTAATTATAATGGTTTTTTTCTTGTCATCTTCTTTAGAACTTTGAAAGTTGCTTTATTGTTCTGTGAATGTTCATAAATTGCCCAGAGTTCTTAATGAGCAACGAGGTCATTGTTATATATTAATCTGTGATGTTTGTTTTGATATTCTGTTTCGTGCTTAATGGGGTGAAATAACCATATTGAAAGTATGTTGTGGTATTGGGAAGGGTAATTGATGCTACATCATATGAAATTTGATGAATACTTTGGGACCATTGCTAAAATGATGAATCACTGTATCCATTCTATCTTTACTTTTGCATCTTTTGAACTTTGAGATTTGGAAATTAGACCTTGGAAGGGACATGCAACCTGCAAGAATGACTGAGTTCATTAGCTTCTAGGCTTCTTACTTCCCGTGTGTGTTTTATGGTGGTTGCAATTGACGATTGATTGTCACTGCTTGGGGATATTTGATGCTTTAGGAAATTCAAATCGTTATTGTATGATTGTATCATGTATGTTATGAGAGATTATACTTCTGCCTATGCAAAATTTGAAATAACATGTGTTAATGTATAGACTTGTTTTCATTATTTTAAGAAATGACATGCTTTTCATTTGTAAGAAGCACAGTTTTCGCTATTTTAAGAGATGACATATATGTTTTTTTGTCATTGGTAGTCCTATTTGTTGCAAAGTTCTGGTATTTCCCATGTTGTTTTGTTATGTCTCAGTTCTAGGGTTCTGCTTATTTGTTGATATTTCATGCCTTTATTGAGTGTATCAATTACTCAAAGACATACAGTAGCAAAACTTATGGCTTGAGTGGATTTTGTGACATAAACTCATTCTTCAGTAATTTCACATAATTTTTTGCTTTGGTATTTTCTTTTTGTTTTGATGAATGATTTTGGAGCCTCTTATTTTCTCAGTATGTTGAATACAAATTGAGGTTCCCATGTTTGCTGAAATAAGAATATTTGGTCTCTTTCAAGAAAACAAGGGCTGCCTTCAAGCGTGATGACAGGAATTCGAGTTACACTGATTTTGAGTTAAGACATCTACTTGCTTATGTTTACTTGACAGGAAATATATATATATATATATATCTTTATTTCTGATTTTCTGCTTGTGTGAATATGGTAAGATTCGAGTTGTTCAGATTTTTGTCGAATTGGCTCGTTTGTTTGGTCTTTTTGGTTCCGATAAAAAAACAAAAAGAAAAGTCTATAATTGACAATGTTGTGACACCTGATAAGAGAGAATTGTGTTACAACTTGCTTCGGTGTTTTTATTTTATATTTTTATTTTAATTTGGTTTAAACTACACTTTCATAAAATGAAGTTGAAAAGCATAACTAAAAAAGTCATTCTAGGCTGATGTATGGAGTGGAAAAATTCAACGAAAAATTCAACTTCCAGGAACTCTCTGAGTAATTGGGCTTTGCCGAAAAAACAAATAAAAATTTACACTAAAGTTTTTGCTCTTGTTTTCACTTATTTTTCCAAAGAAAGTGAAACCACCACTTTTCACCATTTTCTCAGAAAATAATTTTAAGAGCTCTCACATATGTCTTCAATTTGATAACCTCACAATCTCAAGCAAGCTTGCGTTTATTGAATATTGTGTAGGGAAAATTTTGGCTAATAAAAATACAACTTCTGTACAATGAAGTGCCAAATAAGCACTTGACATGTGGCATACTCCATGTCAGCAAAAGGTGGACCACATGGCAAGTCAAATATTGACCAAGTGAATCTTAGAATCACATTCCACAATACCAACTAAGAGCATTGTTAGGGGGAGCATTAATTGAATATCATGTAATGTCACACATTCAATCCTAAAAAGAAAATTAAGAGTGCAGGTCATTGTGAGAAATTATGACATCAGATAATATGCGCCCTGTTGTTAGATTATTATTATTATTATTATTACTATTATTATCACGAAACAAACACCCACTTATTTTTATAGAAATTTGAACTTTCATATACCTACCTGAAAAATAAGTTATTGGTCAGGGTGGGGCAAATAATTTGAGAATCCGATCCAATCCAGTCCAATCGGATCGGATTGCTACACGCATGAATCGGTGGCAGATTCAGAAAATCCAATCTGTAACTCACAAATCGAATCACGAATTAAACTGTTAAAAATTCAATCCGATTCGTGAGTTCGATCTTATTTGATCCTATCCATGAGATATATATATATATATATTTAAAGAATGTATTAATTAATTTAATTAGTTGATGATCATTGACTTTAAGGTATTGGTTAATGATAAACTGAAATTTTATCTATTAGGTTATAATTAAAAAATAAATAATATTGTACTATTTAGAAAAAATCTCAATCCGTGGATCTAATTCGATCCGAACCATGAGATAACAAATCGGCGACAAATTTAAAATTTTCAAATCCATTAGGAGCGACCACCCTCTTACTATTGGTGGTCATATAATGTTAACAATTACAATATATACTAATTAGAGTGATGCTATTTTGCCCGATTATAAAAAAACCTACTACTAACGACTCTTTACGTGGCTGAATCCATGTCAAATGATGACTGAATATGTGTCAAATGAAAACTCTTATTTGCTTCTTTTATTTATTTATTCATTTTTAAAACAAACATATTACCTCCAACAACATAGTAAGAAAAATCATTGAATTACAACAAACAAAAACGGCCTCTCGATTTGATTTGGATTTAAGTTTATGTGAAATATTTTATGATTTTTCTGAATGTATATATATATATATATATATATATACATATATATATTCGATTTGATTTGGATTTAAGTTTATGTGAAATATTTTTTGATTTTCTGAATGTATATATATATATATATAGTTCTGTTTTGTGAAACTGTTTTCCTTACTTTCCTATCGTATTTTTTAAGCCTTATTATTTCAGATCTTGAATTTTCAGTCCTAAATTTCACAGAAGTGAGAGAATGAGATGAGAGATTAAAGTTAGGTTACAAATTTATGCGAAAAAAAATAATAATAATAAAAAAATAAAATAAAATAAAATTAGGAATGAAGTGTGAGAGTCAACCAGAGTGAACATTGCACAGACCAAAGAGTTGGGAATCCAAATCAATGCAAAAGTATTTGAGATGTCCCATGTGAGGGAAGAGAACAAATGGGTGATGGAGTTTGAGATATTTTTAGGGCTCTAAATTTATGCTAAGAAGTTGAGAAACAAACAACGACAGAGTTTGAGACAGAAATTTGGGATAAAGTGAGAGATTGGACGTGTCCCGCCACGTTAAGTAAGATAGTATCACAAAAATATCATTTTTCATGCTAATTAAATATTGCCGGGTAGTTATTTTTGTTAGTCGGTCCATTTTCCATAAGGGTTTTTGTGATTTGCGACTTGCGAATCACGGTGACAGCAGGCCGAATCCGCGTTAACACCACTCATATACAAATCCCTGTTTCACGGGAAGGCTTTACATAAAGTTGACCCATTTATGAAGACCGTGCGTTGACTACAGGTCTGGACTCTGGACCCGTATTTATATGTATTTTACATCTCCTTCATAATTCAGTTCTTAGTGCCAAAAAAAACTCATAAAGAAGAAAAATTCAACAACAAAAGTCATAGTATTACCAACCAACAAGTTTTTACCCATTTCTAGCATTTATTCACTCTCTTGCCTTCTAATCGGTAAGGAACTACTGAAAAACCCAACTTCCGCGTTTTTTGCATTTTAATTCATGGGTTCTGATTGATGGTCTTTGTTCAACGATCAAGTCTTGTACTCTGTAGTTTCGGGGAAGAATTGTGATTTTTTTTAAGTGGGTTTTGTTTGGAAGTTTGATCGGAGTTGTCTATAAGTGGTGGATGATGAGAGATTAGTTTCAGTCCCAAGTTTATCTCATGGCAGATTCTGTAATGGATAGCTTATGCTGTTTCAAAGCTATCTGGGTTCAGGTAATTTTTCTTCGTTTCGTGTTTATCAGTATTGCAGTTTACATGCTCGATAAAATTACACACATACACATATATATCATGGGAATCATGTAAGCAGTGGATAAGTTTGAAATATGATTAGAGATTTTAGAGGACTGTATTTGATTTCCCTTGAATTTGAATGTTTATGTGTATATGGAACTTCTCCATAATTCTTGGTAATGATTTTTTATTTGATTAATTATTTATTACCATTACCATTATTATTTTTGGGTTTTCCTATAAATTCACACACATGCGTGCTGATCAGGATTTGTACCTTGGACCTGTCCCTTTTGGGGTGAGAAGAGATAACATCCAAGCTAACAGCTGTTTTTTGGTAGATTTCTACACTGAAATTTTACATAAAATGTAGGTAAGGCCATACAATTTTTCAGGACATCCACACACGTTTTAGCAGAACCCGGTTAACTTAAACCATGCGGATTCTTTAATATCCAGCAAAGGTACATTCCAAGGTTGAGAAAAAAATTATAAAATGATTTGGTGAAATTTTTTCAATTGGTCTCCTTTTAACCCACAAAAAAAAAAAAAAAAAAAAAAAAAAAAAAAAAAAAAAAAAGAACTACTAAGAATGAAATAATTTATCACTAGAATTAGCAAGTTTTCTGCTGTTTTTGTTTAGCATAAGTGCTCTAATAAGATGGTTTTTTCAGTATGACTAAAAAATGTAAACAAACTAAAAGAAGTTGCTTTCTTATTGTATTCAAGTCTGGTGATAAATTCTCTTGTAATGAAAGTTGTACTTAATTAAGTTTTGTTATTTTCCAACTGTTGTTATCTCATTGAGTGTTTTACCATAAATTTCACTAATTATGAAGAAAAACAAACACGCCACACACAAAGAACACAAAGATTTACGTGGTTCACCGAAAATCTAGGCTACGTCCACGATGAAGATCCCACGAAAGATTTCACTATGCAAAAATCTAAGATTTCAAGATTCAGCCCCCAAACCCTAGCTCCCGCTGTCACTCTCTTTCCTGCGATTTTCAGTGTTATCTCACTACCCACTCCAAACCCTAAATTCCCTTATATACCGGGCCGAAACAAAATTAGGGCCACATAGAAATGTATTACTAATTTATTCCTACTTTCTGAATCTTTTCTGCCTGTGGACTACAGAGGATTTCTTCTTCTTCTTCCATTTGAGGTTGAAGTTTTTTATTTTTCTTTTTTTGTTGTTGATTATTTTGGGTGTTTTTTTTGTATTTAGTTTGTAGGAGTATCTTCATATAGTTCTGGTAAGGGAAAAAGCAATGAAGGTCAAATCAAGTATGGTTTCAGCCTAGTAAAAGGGAAAGCTAATCATCCCATGGAGGATTACCATGTTGCTGAGTTCATGCAGATAGAAGGACATGAGCTTGGACTCTTTGCTATTTATGATGGCCATTTGGGGGATGGTGTGCCTGCCTACTTACAGAAGAATTTGTTTGCCAGCATCTTAAAGGAGGTGGGTTGTTGATTCAAATTTGTAATGGTTGATTACCTATTTGACTTATTTTGGAACAAAATTAATATTCAAGGATGTATCTTATGCTTGTGGGGTCAAATATTCTAGGAAGAGTTTTGGACTGATCTAAATCGATCTATCTTGAAAGCCTATGAGAAAACCGATCAAGAAATTCTTTCGAACACTTCCAACTTGGGGAGAGGTGGGTCTACTGCTGTTACAGCGATTCTGATGAATGGCCAAAGGTTATGGGTAGCCAATGTGGGAGATTCTCGAGCAGTTCTCTCAAGAGGGGGTCAAGCGATACAAATGACCATAGACCACGAGCCTAACACGGAAAGAGGGAGCATCGAACATAAAGGAGGCTTTGTCTCAACAATGCCAGGTTCTTTCCTGAAACCATTGTTCAATGATAGATTGATTATTCACATTTCTAAAGTTAAATGTGGACATTACCAATATGTTTCTAAACAATCAGAATTGTCAAATCACTCAATATTTACTCATCTTCTCTGAAGCGGGCAGATGGCTTCAAAATTTCTTATTTGGGTTTTTATAGTTTGCACTTCAATTTTTATTTTTGGTAGGGATTCTTGGGAGAAAATCAACTCCAAGTTTCTTGTCCTGTCCCTGCCACCTGTTTATGTTTTTAAGTAATGATACTAAATCATTGGTCAATGCATAATAAGAGTCACATCATAGGATCTTGCTTCTTCTTTTTTTCTTTTTCTTTTTTTAAAGGATGAAATATCGGCGCACATTGATAACACTATCAACTGATACTGTTTTATGTCCTTTTCATATAACTTGAAGAAGTCCATTTAGATGTTGGGCGGAGGTGCAGTCACTTCAAATGCACCCAAAAAAAAAAAAAATTATCATAAGAAATAGAGGAACTGAAAATATCTTCTACATTGTTTAAATTTATGAACTTTTGAAGCCTGTAGATCGTTTTGTTAGGTCTTTTTGAATTTTCAGTTTATTTGTATCTCATGGTAATTATTATTATTACAAGCCCTGATTGAGATTGTACCATAGCATGACAAGGAATGCATTTTAACCGAGGGGTCTAACTGTGGCCTATTAAAGAAATGAATTCTGTGATAACATGCACTGAAGCGGATGCTTGAGGATTGTATAATTCTACAACCCGATAAGTCTCAAGGGATTTAGTAATAGATAAATATACACTCTTGGGTATGCCATGTCAATCTGAAGGTGGGAATTATAGCCCTTAGAAGCTGTCATATAATCGAATGGGAGCCTTCTTACTAGCTCTTCCTTGGGAGATCTTGGATGCATGCTTACAGTGTCATTCCTCTTCGTATGACAAAGTAAACAAGGCAATTTGGGACACAGTAACAATTATAGTAACCAATGGGCCATTAACCCAATGGTATAACCTCCCTACCCTCAAAGAGGAGGGGGGGGTTCAAACCCGTGTGGATAACGTGTGTGAGTACGTACCTGATCCCAAAATAAATAAATAAATAAAATGACAATTATAGTAGCAGGCACAAAGAATTCATTACCCTCTGCAGAGGCACATATCTTAGGTGGAGTTTTCTTTAACAAGTATGATGATGAACAGATCTCAACTAAAGAGTTTCATAGTTTTCCCATACCTGAATGTGAGGATACCCTAGGCAAGGGTTTCTTGAGAATAATAATAAAAAAGTACACCCATCAGAAACAATCTTGAAGTGTGTCAGGGTCCAGAAATCGGATAAAAAGAAGTATACAGCTTATGAGCCTGGTATGCAGCTAGTGTGAGGCATTGCTCAGTGCTATAGTTCTAAATCCCCTCTCGAGTCACTGTCTGGGCAATAGTTTATGAAAAACAATATATTATTCAGTTATAGTTTAAACGACCAATTCGTGCTTATCGCCTTTCTCCCTGTTTCTGAAAAGTTACTTCAATTTTTGGTATTTCAGTACCTTAATTTTCTTGCTTTGTATAATGCTTCAAGTTTTCCTTCCATTCCTTTAGAATCACTTTCTATATTCCTGGACTTATTCGGATTTCACATGGATGGACTCATTGTCATATGTGTTGCATTTGAAGTGTTTAATACCCCATTTTAAATAATACTGACAACCATTTTTGTGAAGTTTTTATGACGACTCATTTCGTTATGGCAGCACCATTTTGGATGATTGATGTATACTTTCACATTTTATGTAAAGTGTAATTGAGTCAATCAATTTTTACAGGGCAGACAAGCACATACTAATTCTATTAGTTTAATTGAGTTGGATTTTCAGTATCAAGTCTTTTCATTTTAGCACTTAATTAGAGAGAGTTGCTGAAGTTTTCACTTCTTTCACCTACGCGTTTCTGTCACTTAACTGCAGCATAAATTCAAGACTCAAAAACATGTATTTAGCAAATCAGGAATTACAAATACTTAATAAATTAAATTGAACTTGCACAGGTAAGTAGTTTTGTCTGGTGTTTCAAGATTCTCCAGAATGACTTGCTTTAAGTGTGTATTTAACATGAAACATTATTGTTAGGAGCATAGGAACTTCAATATTAATTGGTCAGTTATATGATGCAAGTCTTAACTCGAGGAGTATGAGCATGTTTTGTGCATCTTTCTCCCATGTACCCTAAACTGCAGCATGACTTGCACATCCTTGAATGAAAATTAGTTCTTTGGTATTTCTTTTATTGTACTTGAATGAAAAATATTTGGCTGGTATTATAATTTTACTGAGCAAGGCTCCTAGTTGGGCTGAAGTTTTATATGGATGTTGAAACCGCCGTCTCTTGCTTAAAAGAAAAGAAATAAAATAAAGAACGAAAAAAGTGAAGCTTTTTCCACTTTATTATCAGGGGATGTCCCTAGAGTGAATGGGCAGCTGGCTGTTTCTCGTGCTTTTGGAGATAAAAGCCTCAAGTCACACTTGCGATCAGATCCTGACATTCAAGATACCACCATTGATGTCAATACCGATATATTTATCCTTGCAAGCGATGGTCTCTGGAAGGTGAGTCGCTACCACATTTGCATAAACCGGGTGGCAGATTGTGGTGAATTTAAGTGGTTGCATAGATCATAGATGAAAAATAAAAATTGTTAGCGTAATTAGTTTTTTTTTTTTTTTTCTGACATGTGAGATCAATCCAGGTAATGGCTAATCAAGAGGCAGTTGATATTGCAAGAAGAATCAGAGATCCCCAGAAAGCAGCCAAGCAATTAACAGCCGAGGCATTGAAGAGAGACAGTAAAGATGATATATCTTGTGTAGTTGTTAGATTTGGCAGATAAAACCTCCTTTTTGCAGCATATTGTTTCTGTTGCCTGTCTGTAAAATAAGAGTTTCTTCACAATAGACACCACCTGTTTATACTCAGTTTGGATGATTCTTACAGGTTCCTGGCTATAAACTATGAGAATGCTAATAAAATAAGGAGGGAATAAAAGATCTTTGTTATTTGTTTTTTATTTTAGTTTATTTTATTTTTTATTTATGTTTGGTGTTCAGTGTTCTGTATTGTTTCTGTTGTCTATTGTCTAATTAAGTTATGCAATGACAAGCATCACTCTGTAAAGGAAGAAACATGGAGTTGATTGTAAATGGAGGAATTATAAGTTTTGACTTTACATGCTTTCAGTTCTTGGTCGATTGCCCTCAGTTAGTCAAGCTTTCAAGATTTAATAGTAATATATAATAAATGAATAAAGAGTTTTAATAAGCAGGCAAAATATATTTAAACAAAAATAAGACAATAACTAAAGGGAAAAAAAAAAAAAAAAAAAAAAAAAAATCATTGTAAAATAATATGTTAATTAATGAGTATAAGAAATATAATACTTGACAAATATAACAATTAAAATATTGTTTGATAATAAGAAGAAAAGAAAAAAAAAATGTTAAGGCTAGATTAGATATTAGATTAATAAATAAGAGAGTCATGGCACTTCAAAATCATGTTGCACATGGTAAAAAATAACTTTTTAATATTTGGTACAAGAAAAATTGAAAAGAAGAGTTGAAAGTGAGAATAAAGAAAAAATATAAATACAGTATATTATTTAAGATGTTTGAAAAATATGTTTTAATAGTGATAAAAGAATATACTACCAAAGTGGCAAAGTGTCACATTACTCATTATTCCCAAGCATCAGGTGGACTCTTTCCCAAACGCAGCCGCTAGTAGACGGTATTGTCGGTCAACAATTACAAAAACCCTAGAATGCATTTTAAAGCCGCCACACACATTGGTCAGTTGTTCCGTCCTATATATTGCCAGCCAAATGATACAATGTCTCTCTCGTCAGGAAGTTATGAGCAAACTTTTCATACTGGTATGTCATAATAGCTATTATCATAGATGATTTTGTAGTTCATATATATATATATATATATATATATATATGTCTATTTGCGTATATTTTGCCTCTCCTTTCAGCTGCAAAGGCATAGATCTGATGATCTGTTTCTTGATGGCTTTGTTCTGGAGGCATATATTTAATCTCCAAAATTTTAGGGGTTTAGTTTAAACCAGAGCTGGTGTTGTTGCTACTCTGGTCTCCCCTTATTTGGTACATTTCCGTTGGAAAATTAATTTATTTTGCTTTTTCTGTAGTAGCTTTGTGCTCCGTTTGGTTGCCTAGATATTGCATGAAATTGATATTTATACTAATTTATATATAAACAGAGTTGATTTGGCTTTGTTTTAGATCCCCATTAATTTTCTAAGTCTTCTTGGCAACCATAAAAAGCATAAGATTAATATGGATCATTTGTCTCAAGTTTGATTGCATTGGATATAATAATTTTGATTAATGGTGGTGTTGGGACAGGCAAAAGAGACACTTGCTGCCGCATGAATTTTGATTATGTTTTTATTATTCAAGGTTGTGACATTTAGGCAAAGCATGTGGTAAAGATCGCATTGTTACTTTTTTTATTTTATTTTATTTGTTTATTTATTTTTTATAAATAGAGAAATGCTAGGTGCGGTTGTTTGGCGACTATGGTAGCAGCCTGTTGCACAACTTAATGGAAGCTTTACACTACTTGAGTATTTTATTGTAAACAAAAAATAAATTGAGATGCCCTTTCATGTTGTTCTTAGAATCCTTAGTGAGAAATTATTAGGTGGTTTGAGATCATATGGTGTTGACCGCCAATCACAAGATACACCAAATGTGTTAGTATCTTGTGACTGTCTAGAACTACATGATTCCAGACTACTTAATAATTTCTTGATTAATTATGGTGAATTTAAAACCCTTATTATTGGATTTGGTTTGAAGGTAGAATTTAGAGATGAAGGGAAGAGTGAGACGAAGAATGAAAGTGTGTTGAGCTATCCTTTACAACATTAGTAATGGTGTCTGTATGGTAGATTTATCAAATTCAAAGGGCATGTCAATTTTGAGCTTTTGATTTATTCATAAACTCAAAGTAAGGGGCTTGTGTTCTTAACTGGTGCTGCGAGCGTGATGCCACCGTTGTTAAGCGACTGTGGCTAGCATTTCTCTCATTTATAATGCAAAATTCTATGAACTTCTTTGCCTTATTCTTAGATTTGTGCTTTCCATATTTTGGATTTTAATTCTTCTTAAGCATAAGCCTGTTTGATATGTTAGTCTCAAAGTCACTAATTAAACTGCTTGAAAATCCTCGGAATTCTTTTAAGCTGAATCATTTTGTGTTTATCCATTATCCATTTATTCTTAATGTTGTGATACAATGTCTCTTCTTTCTGCTGCATGGACATATATACAAGTAGGATCAATTTATTGATTGCTTTGTTCTGAAGTCATATATTAGTCTCATCAAAAGTCTTATTTGGAGTTTGTGACCTTCCTTTTGTGGCTCCCCTTTGTTATTTTTTTAATAGATATATCTCTCTTTCTATTTTTCTGTTTTTATTAGATAAATAGTGATAATTTTTAGTAAAAACATTTCTCTGTGTTTCATTCTATTCATAGTTGCTGAAAAGTTGGAGGAATATGAGATGTTAAAGCTTAAAGCTTTAGTATGTCAAGTTATCCTTAGTTTTGGATAATGTGATGCTAGATGTTGGTTTTGGAGGATATAATGCTAAATATTAGTTTGGAGAATATACTGGTAAATGATTATGTTTACAGAAAGTGCTTACAACCTCCCCACCTTCAAAGAAGAGGGTAGGGATTCTAGTCCTATTAAGTCTTCCTAAAACATAACAATTACAATTGCAGTAATTATTATTCGTGGTTAGATAAATTTTCCTTTTAAATAACAATTAGGAAAATTTATTTATTTAAAAAAAAAAGGAAAAGGAAATTAAAAGAATTTGAAGAGTAAAAGAGAAAAGTAATATAAAGTTGATAATAATTTTAAAATTTAATTTTTTTTTTTAGGAAGGGCATTATTTAGAAATTTTAGTATACATTTAAAAAAAAATTAAAAAAAAAATACCTTATATGTTGTATGGGGCCAGACTACAATTATTCCGCCCTGGTTGTGTATATAAAGACAAATTAGACAAACAATATTTTATAAATTTAAGGGAACAAGGCTATTTATTTATTCAATTTGGGTATTTACATTTTTAAGAAGTAAACAACATAAATTATTGTGGTCTTCACATAATATTGTCTCTAGTAGTTTACTTTTCTTTATCTTTGATTATTAAGTTTATTTTTCAGTTTTAAAAAGTATATTCATTTAATTTCTACTTTTGTGATCTAATTTTCTATTTATTTGGAGAGTGAAATAATGTGAGATTCATGTTGCGTATGGTAGGAAATAAGTTTTTATCGTTTGGTACAGGATAAATTGAAAAGAAAAGTTGAAGAGAGAATAATGGAAAAATATAAATACAGTATATTAGTTAAAATGTTTGATTTTTTTTCTTAAAATAGTAATACATGAATAAAAAATATATATTTTTTTTTCTATTTCCAAAGTGTCACCACCTCTCTTTACTCTCATTATTTCCAACTTCAAGCAGTAGGTTGACGCATACCCAGAACGCAGCCGGTATTTTTGGTCAACAATTGCAACACCCTAGAATGCATTCGGTCAACCATTTTAAAGCCCTAGAATGCATTGATACTCATAAAGTGTTAAGCAACTTCATACTGGTATGTCATAATTCATATATATTTATGTTTATTTATGTATGTATGTAATTGTGTATATTTTGCCTCTCCTTTCAGCTGCAAAGGCATAGATCTGATGATCTGTTTCTTGATGGCTTTGTTCTAGAGGCATATATTTAATCTCCAAAGTTTTAGGGGTTTAGTTTAAACCAGAGCTGTGGTTCTTGCTACTTTGGTCTCCCCTTATTTGGTACATTTCCATTAGAAAATTAATTTATTTTGTTTTTCTGTCGTAACTTTGTCTTGCCTAGATATTGCATGAAATTAATATTTATACTAATTTTATATCTGAACAGAGTTGTTTGTCTTTGTTTTAGATCCCCATTAATTTTCTAAATCTTCTTTGCAACCATATTTAGTATAAGATTAATATGGATCATTTGTCTTGATGTCTACCCTAAAACCATCATGTTTCTCATAAGTTGACATATTTGCATCATTAGTAATTTTGATTAATGCCTGTCTTGGGACAGGCAAAATAGACACTTGCTGCAGCATGTAATTTTGATTATGTTTTTATTATTCAAGATTGTGACATTTAGGCAAAGCATGTAGTAAAGATTGCATTGTTACTTTTTTGTTTATAGGGAAATGCTAGGCGCCGTTGTTTGGTGGCTATGGTAGCAACTCACCACACAAGTGAATGGAAGTTTTACTTACACTATTTGAGTCTTTATTGTAAACAAAAAAATTAAACTGAGATGCCCTTTCATGTTGTTCTTAGTATCCTTAGTAAGAAATTATTAAGCTAGTTTGGGACCATATGGTCCTTACCAATCACATGATGCACCAAATGTGTCAGCATTTTGTGATTAGTCAGGACTACAAGATTTCGGACTACCTAATAATTTTTATATCCTCAATCTTTATATATAAAACTTTCTCGAGCTCTACACCTGGCATTCAATGTGATAAATTAACTGTAATTCTACCATGAAAAATGATTCTTAGGCCTATTTGTTAGGCCAATTTGTCTAACTCAAGGATTCTTATCCCTTTGAAATAGTGGATAGGACCCACATTTGAGTTTATTCACCATATAACCCCCTTAACCTGACAATAATCAACTTTACAGCATACAAGAAAAGTGCTAAAATACTCTAACAAAAATAATAATAAAATTAATGTTTTACATAATTCTATTATTAACAATGGGCTAATGGCATAGAGTGGATGGATAATAAATCTAATGAGTATTGAATCCATCAGTACACAAATATTTCAGGAATAATGACCTTTTTAATGTGTATTCTTGACACTTGACTAATGGCACGCACTCCTACATTAAAAGAAATTATCATAATTCCTGAAAATCACATTAAATGCCATGAGTCTTCTACACTATTTTCTCTTTGATAGTATCTTATAAAAATAATACTTGATTGATTATTGTAAGTTTAAAAACCTGTTATTGGATTTGGTTGGAAGGTAGAATTTAGAGAAACAGTGAAACACAATGAAAGTCTGTTGAGCTATCCTTTACAACATTAATTATGGTTGCAGTATATTTAATTTATCAGATTGAAATGACATGTCAATTTTGAACTTTTGTTTTATTCATAAACTCAAAGTAAGGTGCTTGTGTTCTTTACTTGTGTTGCGAGAAGAATATTATGCTAAATGATTGTGTTTAATGCTTATCACCATACTAGTGTTTTGGTAAGTTTCTGTTTTGTGTGGTTGCTTGGTTTGGAAACATTTGTTTTCATAATATAAGGTAATAATTTTTGGAAAACATTGTCTTCATGAATCTATCTTAGTAGCCTACTATACTCTGAGTTGGTTATGACAATTGTGGAAATAATGCGATAACTAAGGTACATGAACTTCACATTTTCTTTCACCTTTCTTTTCTATCCCATTCCCAATCAAAATGAACTTCTATTTATGTTTTAAGAATTTATGTTACATGGACTCATATAGGTGTGAAGGGTGCCGGGATGGGTTTAATCCATATTATGCAAGGAGACATTGCTTTTGCTAATTCGAATTGAAGGATGATATAAAATCGGTCTATTTTCGGCATAATATCCATAGTTAGCGCATTCATCATAGTTAGCAGCTCCAGCTCCGTATCAAGGTCATGATCGATATCGTCAATATCGTCACTAGCATCAATATCGTCACTATCCTCAATATTGATATCATCAATAAGAAAACCTTTAGGCTTGTTATCCAGGAACTTGTTCAGAGATACCGTAATGAAAGGAGGAGTTTGTCGCTAGGGATTTGACCAAATAGGATCGTCCAGTTCCTATAGAACCTATCACTAAAATACCTTTTTTTTTTTGTCATTCCAAGTAATAGAAATTGTTTTTTGAACTTGTTGCATTCATTTTTCTAAGCACTAGCTCGACTTATACCCAAGCATTATCACTAAAATACCTTTTTTTTTTTCTCATTCCAAGTAATAGAAATTGTTTTTTGAACTTGTTGCACTCATTTTTCTAAGCACTAGCTCGACTTATACCCAAGCATTCTCCTAGCAGATGGTATTTTCGGTCTCTAAAATGCATTTTCAAGCGGCGGTATATGTAGCTCGGCAGTATATGTAGCTCCGCTGTTCTTGTCAGGGGAGTAATAACTTCTTTCCGGGATGTAATAATAATGATAATCTCTATTTATTGTTAGAGATGATTTTGTGGTTCTTATATATATATATGTGTCTGTGCGTTTGTATTTGTATTTACCTCTCCTTTCAGCTGCAATGGCATAAAAGAAATGAGTTTTATACAAAGCATAAGGGTGACATTAGGGATGGCAAATTCACCATCCCCGCCGGTTTCTGTCCCGTTTATAGCGGGGATGGAGACCCTTTTATGTAAACGGGGATAGGAATGGAGGTAAATTTTGAAAACCCGTCGGGGGCGGAGTAAATCCACCTTTGCCCCATCCCGATTAAGTGTTAAATTACTAATATATTCTTACATTTAATAATTTATTACTAAATTAGATTTAGTGTATATGTATGAAAATAAAAAATATATATATTTGTTCTTTTTAAAAAGTAATATATGTTAATTGGGGTCGAGGATGGGGAGGGATAAGTGGTCCGGGGCAAGTATGGGGGTGGTGGTAAAATTTTAAGTGGGGATGGAAATTGAAAAATTCAGGGAGAATAGAGCTGGGGATTGAGATTCTCGTCCCATCCCTGGGTAACATGGATATTAAAACAAATGAGTTCTAAATCCAACCGTATACAAATATTCTATGGGAATAGCTGCAAAATTTGACCAATATGTAGCACTCCTAAGTGCCGCGCAAGTCGAATTAAATGCCTTGGACTCTTTCATTAAAAGAAATGACATAATTGTTGAAAAAAAAGATAAGGTTCTATTTTTATCGATTAACACAAATTTCAGCTTTTAAATATTGAAACTGTTACTTGATTTGGAAACATTTGTTTTGAGAATATAGGTAATAATATTCGGAAAACGGCGTCTTCACAGCCTGCCATCGGTGACGACACAGGAAATTATGTCAAGGGGGTTCTTTTAATAACAATGGGCGTTCTTTAAATAACAATTTTTTTTTGTTTTTTTTTTTTAATTAAGCAAATTTATTAAAGGTGTTCAAAAGGTGAACGCGTCCCAAAAAGATCTCACTGAACACATTTACAATGCAGATCATCATAATAGGCAAAAATATTTTTTTTGTTCATTGAATCATTGAGCACATTTACAATTGTCCCCGACGACTTTTCATATTTTGAAAACGTTGTATGGTTCTTCACGATATTCATAGCGGAAAATGCCCTCTCTACATTAGTAGCTGCAACTGGTAGGATCAACGTTAATGTCACAAGCAAATAAACTAGTGAATGTACCTTATCTCTTTTGGTTTCCACCATTTGTTTTCGCAAGGTCACCAATCTCTTTTAATCCTTCAAACTCGTTTTTAGAACGCATATCCACAATATAATTCTCAAGTTGATCACCAAGTCTTATGAGAGCATGTGGAGAAAATTCTTTTGGATAAAATTGAGCAAAAGCGGATTGGTTTTTGCTTTTCAAAAGCACAAAATGAATCATCCGGAGACAAGCAAGCCACACAAAACAACAACTCGAACTCATTTAAGAAAAACGACTAGTTAGCTCCTGAAGCTGCATATCTATGATGGAATAAAACAGATCAACACGATAATGATGCAAGTTCGACTTGTCATGAGCTCTACGTCGTAGTCTTCCTTGAGGTAGAAATGTATCATCCATATTAGGAATAGGAATGTCATGTTTCACACAAAAAGAAGAAACTTCATTGAGTAAAGAATCCCATCCACTTTCCCTCATCCTTTGTAATTGGACCTTGCTTAATTTGACCAAGGACATAACAACCACAATATCTTAATCTTTCTTTTGAAGTGCCTTTGACAAATCATTTGTAATTCCCAAAACAGCTCTCATTAAATGCAAACAAAATATGAAGTTAAAGGATTGTATAAATTCCAATAAAAGATTTACTTCAAACTTTTTTTCTAATGACCCATCCTCTGCAAGTGTATCAAGTATAGTAACAATAGTTGAAAACATAATAATCACGCTAATTAAAGTGTCATAATGTGAACCCCAACGTGTATCACTAGCTCGTTTAAGAGAAGTGTTTTGATTTAGGCCTTGCCCACTTGAAAGCTCACCATTGTTAAGTGCATCGGTAACTATAGAAGCTTAATTCTCTCGAAGAATATCACAACGTTTACATGAACCACCAACTATATTTATAAGATTAGCAACAAAAGTAAAAAGAGAAACAATATCCTCGTGTTTTTTTGCCATACCCACGAGAGCCAATTGGAGTTGATGGGCAAAACAATGAATGTAAAAAGCACATTCATTCTCCTTCAAGATGAGAGTTTTGAGACCATTGAACTGACCTCACATATTACTAGCCCCATCATAACCTTGCCCTCGTAATCTAGAAATGCTCAACCCATGTCTAGAAAATAAAGCATCAATCGCTTTCTTGAGTGAGATGGAAGTGGTATCAGAAACATGCACTAGACCCACAAAACATTCAACTACATGTCCATTCTTGTTCACATACCGTAAAACACAAGCCATTTGCTCATTTGTTGATACATCCCGAGATTCATCAATTAGAATAGAAAAAAAGCATCACCAATATCTCCGATAATAACATTGAGAGTCTCCAATGCAATGGCATTAACAATGTCCTTTTGGATCTTAGGTGTCATTAATTTGTGATTTTCAGGAGCATTTTGTGATGTAACTACATTAATGTCTTATTTTGTCTCAAGAAAATTCCCTTGGTTGCTTGAATCCTCAGATTCATCATCACCACGAAATGCAAGACCTTGTCGCAAAAAATGTCGAACACAATCAATTGATGCAATCAATCATGTTCGATAAGCAATTCGTGTCTTCTCCGATTGCTTGAAGAAAATTGACTGAATGTGTCGCTTTTGCTTCATTAATGCTTGGCACATACTCGAACATTGGTTATGGGCACTTTTTGGACCTCCAACGTGGCTTTTTAGTTTTTTCAAACCCTTCTTTCAATTAGAAAATCCTTCACTCACGAAGGTATCACCACCCGATTGTTCTCTAATTTTTGGTTTTAAAAGATAGTAACATAGACAATATGCTTCATCTTTATCTATGCTATATTCTAACCAAGTAGAAAATGCATTAAACCATGCCGGGTTGAATCGTCGTAAGCATTGCCCATAACTCTTATAAGGAAAATGATATTTTTTAGGTTGGCAAGGACCCTTTAGTATGTATGCTCTCCATATTTGATCTCGGACATCGGGATGGTAATTTAATATCGAAGTTCGTAGTCCAGGATCTGCAGCCAGATCCTCAAGGTTGATCTCTATATCACTTGTATTTGAAAAGCCATCATATCTTCTTAGAGATGGTGGCAACCCTCTTGTCACAAATTTGTCCATTACTGATCAATTTCCTATGGAGAGTGACGACATTTTAGTTTGGTTTCTTAGTGATCAATTTCCCATCAACAAAATAAACACATTCAAAAATTGCATATTATAATAAATTGTGCACCTGTGTTGTTGTGCATTATAAAATTAAATAAAAAATAAAAATAAAATTAAATATTCAAAAATTGCATATGCATTGCTATTAGAAAAAATAAATCAAAAGGCGTACCTATACAAAAGAAATTAATCTTGTAAGTTACAACACTGAACACTCCCAGACTCCCAGTATTAGTTGCATTTTTCAGGTGATTAAATGAGAATTGAGTTAAGCATCTCAGCAACCAAAGTGTCCAGAAAGCCTTTTTATATCGGTTATATTGATTAGTATTTACCAACAAGTACATATGTCCCGAGTTTGGCACAAATGATTATTTTAGTTACCTTCTACTTTCCCCTGGGTCATTTAAAAACAAAATTGAAAGAAACTAAGAAAAGGGGAAACAAAAAAAAGGAAGGAAAGAAGAAGAAGAGAGCTCCAAAGATTATAGCATTACATTCAACTAACAATCCGCTTCGTCACCTACCACGAACACAACCCAAAAAACCCCCCAAGAAAAAAAGTCCACTACTAAAATAAACCGTTCTTTGGATACTCTTATTCATCATGGCCTAAATCTGATTCCTCTGTTGTGGACATTATACAACTGCCCATAAAATGAGCATGTTTCTAACATCAATTGTTATATTATATACATACATCATACATGTGTACACACGTAAAACACACCAGTATTAGATGAATATGGTGTCAGAAGCAGGTTCATAATCTTGGTTTCTTGTTTCTTTACTATTTTTTTATTCTTTTTTAAAATTAATGTCTTTAAAGGAGTAGGCAAAAGGTTTTAAGTCTCCAGGTAGTCTCCAAGTTATGTAGATGTCTTCTTTGTTTCCAATTCTTTAGATCAATTTGAATGAAAGAGATTTGAAAAGAAAATAAACCCAAAAAAATAAATAAATAATATTTAAGAGGAAAAAGAAACCACATATAACACAATAGATCTTCGATTCTTCATCATATATATTTCTTTGTTATTGTATTAGCGGTTAACACATTAATTAGTCAATTAATTGTTTCAAGACAAGAGAGAGAGCATGAAAAGGCACATAAGTTACATAACCTAAATCACACTCTGACAAAATCAAGAACGATTAAGCAGTAAACAACATACGAATTTAGTTTACAGGCTGAAAATGAATCATCAATTCTCATTTCGAACAGAAATCTAACACATAAATGATAAATCAACCAAAATCGAGCAAATACTCAGTTCTTGAGGACCAATAAAAAAAGAAGAAGATCAGTTGACCTACCTTCGATTTGCAGTGTGAAAGTTGAGAGATTAGAGACCAAAGTTGTGGAATAATAACAGAAGAGCAGAGGATTGAAAAGAGAAGCAAACGGATAAGGGCTAGGCGAGGATGAAAGAGAAGCTCTGACAACGAGAAAAAAAGGTCGATGGAGAAAACACAGAGGGGGTCAGTAAATATTTTGAGAACTTACTAGTGGGGGGTATTTGTGAAATTTCAGGGGGGGGGGGGGCATGACATATATTTTTAAAAAAAGTGTAATATATAATAGGAAAAAAAAATTCCAGAAGGGGCATTCGCCCCCCCGGTCCCCAGGTAGGTCCATGCCTGCCTACCATACTCGAGTTTGTAATGACTGAGTGTTGAAATAATACGAAATTTGATTGAAATGCATAGCACATTTTCTTTCGCCTTACTC